CCCCCCCCCCCCCAGTTAAAATAAAAAAATCATTTAGTGGCCCACATGTTTTTTTACCGCTAAAACCAACCCTCAAATAACAACCCCCTCCCAAAGAAAGTGCACTGTATTAACTGTTGTAGGTCCCACAACAGCTTAAATACAGCTTGTTACAAGGCATACTGCCCCCCCCCCCCCCTCCCCCTTACTTGTTTAGTTTGTCTGAGAGTTAATGTCTGTCATGACAATGTGAGTTGTTATTAGGGTTCTGATATTGTAAAACTATCTCTAGAGATCATATCAGCTCCAGTGAACATCAATTTTTATAACCACGAGTATGAATGAGTTTATGTAATGAACTGCATGAATAAAGGATAATGCCTTGTAGTGTAGTCCACATAATACAGCATAAACCCCCCCCCCCACTAGGTATTACTGAGCTTTGCATCAGATAGGCTTGACAAGCTTGAAGAACCCCCTCCCCTCCCATCGAAAAAACCCCAACAACAAACAAATCAAAAACTCAAAAATAAACAAATAAAAAAGTAGAATGCTGAATGCTAGACGACTCTCTCAGACTTACATCAACAATGCCTAAAGGTACAGGAACTGTGAACCCAGGATATTCTATGATCTTGTTAACATCATACTCTGTAGGAAATACATAGAAAACAGTAAGTAACAAAACAAATATAATATACATCAAATTATGCATAGAGGAAAATTAAAAACAGTAAGGCAGGATTGAGTAGTAAATACACAGAGACAGAGCATCTAAAAAAGCAACAGCCTATACAGTAGTCTCCGCATAAGATCCCACTGCTTACGATCCCGGTTCGCTTAAGATCCCGCTGTTTTAAGAAAACAGAATTTTTACTATACAAAAGTCACCCCTAAGATCCCGCTCTGATTCACTCTGAAGGTCTACCTTCGGCTAAGATCTCGCATTTCAGATCATAATTTGCGGAACAAAAACCCGGGCGGGACAGCCTTTCAACCAAGAGTGAAAAGTTGAGATCAATTAACTGTCCGTCGTGTCAAAGATCAGCCACTATCGTGAATGTGATCACATACACGTTGTAAAACTCGATGAAGCGATAAATGTTTGCCCCAGACGGGATCACACCGGGGTGTGAACTAACACGTTTGTTTTCCCCGAACATCGCACTCACACCTGAGCTCTCCCCCTAAACTTACATCACTTGCTTGGTTGGGAGGGCCTACACGTTCGCTCCAGGCGGGATCACATTGAACTGTGAACTCTTCCCTGACCATTGCAGAAGTTGTATGTACTCCCGAATTTGCGAGACAGACTGAATTTTAATTGGTGTGTTCACAAAGCAATGGTGTGTATCGACAAAGGCGGTTGGGGGGGGGGGGGGGGGGATGGGGACTCGGTCAGAGATGGAAGATGGAAAGCTATAAATTTTCGACAGGTAAGGGGGCGGGGCAACTAGATAAGCGCAGATCTTGAGACTCATGATAGGATAAAAAGTGAAAATGGCACGCCTCATCCCACTATGCACTGTGATAGGTCATCAAGGTTAACCACTCTTTGCTCGCCATACGTCATAAACCCACCAAGCGGTCACGTCAGTTCATTTTAGAGTAGAAGGAGACCATTTTATCGATTGTGAGCCTTAGCATGGGTCACCATACATTCTTCCCTGGGTTCGTCGGTTAAGATCCCGGTTCGCCTAAGATCCCGCATTTCCTTGCTCCTGAGCATCGGGATCTTAGGCGGAGACTACTGTATCATTAATTTATCTGAACTAAGTTCATTTTTATCCACAGCCATTATGCTGTGTTATCCTTCAGGTTAGGACATTTTCAGACAATCCACAAAATTATCTAATTATTGTCAGATCATAACTGAACTCATCCGAAGTATTTTAATAATAATATGTTGTTTGTTTTGGTCCTTTCCAGGAGGAAGGGGGAAGAAAGGGAGATGGAGAGAGAGAGAGAGAGAGAGAGAGAGAGAGAGAGAGAGAGAGAGAGAGAGAAACAGAGAGAGGGATAAAGTGAGAAAGTAGTGCTACCATTCTTATCCTCGGCTGCTCCTTCATCGTCGAGCTCTCCGTCCTCCAGGTACTGCCCCGTGATGCGGGTCGCTACAGGGATGAGAAATAAAACAACAGAAAACATTACCATAATGAGTTGCTCAAGGCATCTGACTACTGACATCTTTCTTTTTTCAAGCTTTTTTCAACTCTTGTTCACATACATCATATGGTCAGCAAGCTGTTCAAATGTTCTGGCTTCAGAAAGCAAAATTTTTCACATGAGAAAAAAATCAAACTGTTTCATTTTTTAAACAAGTGTACCCACATCAAGCATTTTTTCCTTACTTTTAAAAATAAATATTTAGAATTAGAATTTCAACAAAATGTTTCTTCTGCACATGCAACCAATACCATAGATTAAGAAGCTGCAATTTTTAAAATTTGATAATTTGGGGCTTAGTGCATCTTAAGGCCAGCTGACAGTTTATAACCTCGGATGTCTTCACTTGTTTGCTACTCTACTGCTTTGCTGGAAGCAGATTAAAAAAAGTTTTAGTAGACGTTTTACGGCGCTCGCAACTGCATAAGGTCATATGAGCGCCAAGGGGTGGATGTCAACAGAGAAGTCTTTACAGGGAATCAGACTTACTCTTCTCACCTCTCTAGATTCAACAGCACAAAGTCTGCTTTGACTATCAAGGCACCCCGGAAATGATTGATTGGGGTAGATGTTTTACGGCACTATCGACACAATTTTGGTCATTTAAGCGCCATCAGGTTTCACCGTTACAAAATCAGACGTGTTTTTAATAAGAGTCTTTCGGAGCTCGCAACCGCAAACGATCACACTATTTCTATTATGCTAAAAAGACGAACAAACATTTATAAATATTTTTTTTGTAAATATGGAAAAGGCTTATTTACATTTGTATATACAATACAAATCTCAGCGTATGTATATATACACCGACAACGACAACTATATATTTTCACATTTTATTAAACAGTCCAATTTCTTTTATAAAACTTAAGATTCTTCTAGGTTCTATGATGTTAAAAAGGGTCTTAATATTTTTACATTTAAAATATTTATCACGGACATAATTAAAGTCGACACATTCCATTAGGATGTGCCGAACTGTGAAATTTGTGTTGCACGCCACGCAAAGGAGCTTCCTCTCCTTCGAGCAAATGTTTGTGCGTGACGTGCGTGTGTCCTATTTTAAGTCGGGTAAAAATTACTTTTTCTCTTCGTGGTAGAGAAAATGGTTTCCTGGGTGTAAGTTTCGGTTGAATGTAATGGAGTTTGTTGTGTATTTGTTGATTCCAACTTTGGGACCAGGAGGATGTGATGTGTTCTTTTACTTTCGGTTTCATGTCAGAGAAAGGGATTTTACTATTTTTGTTTTCAGGTAGTTTTAGAGATTCTTTGGCAAATTGGTCAACGGCTTCGTTGCCATCAATGCCTACATGGCTTGGAAGCCAAGCTATTGTAATAGTTTTTCCAGACTGATGTAGAAAATGCAGTTTAATGATAAGTTTCAAAATTCTGTTGTCGGAGGTGTCAGAGCGCTCTAAAGATTTCAGACAAGAGAGAGAGTCTGAAAGGATTAGGAAGGTAGACTTGGTTGATTGATCTATAATATTTAGGGCCATTTCAAGAGCTGTAGCCTCAGCAGTGTAGACTGAAGCTTCTGGATGGAGTTTCCTTAGGCTTAAGCTGTGTGGCGATGCAAGGGCAGCAGCTCCTACTGAGGAGTCATTTTTGGATCCGTCTGTAAAGAGTTTCTCTGCTTCAGGGTATCTATTTATCAGCTGTTTATATGAGTTTAAGTATGTAGTTTTGTCTGTGGACTTTTTGTTGTGTTTTTCAAGACTAGTATCTATGTTTGGTTTGGTTAAATGCCATGGAGGTATGCTGGACATGGCAAAGGGCTCGATTATGTCTTCAGAAAAATCAATGTCTTTGAGATCGTTCTGGATTCTTATTCCGAAAGGGCTTACTTTATTTCCTAAGGAGGATAGGGTTTTTAGGTCTTCGGGAAGGCCAAAGACACATTTGTGGGCTGGGTTTTGGGGTACTGAGCTAAGTTTCAAAGCGTACTGCAAAGAGAGTTTTTTCCTTCTAAGTTCCAAAGATGGTTCATGTGCTTCTGCCTGTAAACTTTCTACAGGTGAAGTACGGAAAGCGCCTAGGGCAAGGCGAAGGCCTTGGTTCTGAACAGGGTCTAAAATTTTAAGGTAAGACTTTCTGGCTGATCCGTAAACAGGACTGGCATAGTCCAGCCTGGAACGGACAAGAGAACGGTAAAGTTGAAGGAGTATTTCAGTATCTCCTCCCCATTCAGGATTGGATAATACTTTTAAGGCGTTGAGAGCACTCTGGCACCTCGTCTTTAGGTCTTTCAAGTGTGGTAGGAATGAAAGTTTATTGTCGAAGATTACGCCCAGGAAACGAGCTTGTTTTTTAACAGGAATTTTCTCTCCAAACAAATATAAATCTGGTTGTCGCACACACTTGTGCGACAGACAAAAATGTACACAGTTTGTTTTTACTGTTGAAAATTTGAACCCGTGCCCGTTTGCCCAAGTTTCCAGTCTATGGAGTTGAAGCTGAAGCTGACGTTCAATGTGATCCATTTTGGATTTGGATTTATAGCAAATCAGGAAGTCGTCAACATAAAGTGAGCAGTCAATATTGTTTTGAAGGGTTTTTGTGATGGAATTTATTTTGATTTCGAAAAGAATGGGCGATAAGATGCTTCCCTGAGGGACGCCTTCTTCTTGGGTGTGTAAATTTGATAATGTTGAACCTACTTTTACTTGAAATGATCGGTCTTTCAAAAAGTTTCGTATAAATTCTGGAAGATTTCCGCGTAAGCCCAAGTCATGCAGGTCTTTCAGAATACCATGTTTCCATGTGGTGTCGAATGCTTTTTCTAAGTCGAAAAAAATAGCCACAAGGTGCTCTTTTCGAATGAAAGCTTCCCGAATGAAAGTTTCAAGTCGGACGAGATGGTCAATAGTAGAGCGATTTTTGCGAAAACCGCATTGAAAATTTGATAAGGAGTTTGAGGTTTCGAGAAACCACATTAGACGTTTGTTAATAAGTTTTTCCATAAGTTTACAGAAACAGTTTGTAAGGGCTATGGGACGGTAGTTTGATGGGTTAGAGTGATCTTTTCCTGGTTTTGGGATTGGTATAACAGTGGCAAGACGCCAACTGTTCGGAAATTGTTGAGAATGCCAGAGTTCATTGTAAATATCAAGGAGTAATAGGAGTGTTTCATCTGGAAGACGTTTGGTGATTTCGTTGTGTATTTGATCAGGGCCTGGAGCTGTGTTTGATAGTTCTGCAATATTACATTTTAATTCGTTAAGAGAAAAGCTGCAATTATAGTGTTCTTCATTTGAAGAGGTAAAATCAACAGTTGTCTTTTCAGAAGACATTTTTACTTTTTGGAATTCAGGGTTGTAATTGTGGGTAGAGGAATTTCCGGAGAGAGTTGATGCTATACAGTCAGCAACTGTTTTTTCGGTTTCTACGAAGGAGTTATTCGGTTTAAGGATGTGTTTGATTGTGTCTTTTTTAGTACCTTTTAATTTCTTTATCATCTTCCAGACTTTGTGCATTGGTGTGTTGTTGTTGATTTTTGAGACATAATTTCGAAAAGATGTTTTCTTGGCTGTTCTGATTTTTCTGCGTGCTTGGGCTCGCGCAATTTTGAAATTAATGAGGTCTTCGTTAGTTTTAGAGTTGACGAACTTCCTGAGAGCTGATTTTTTGGCCACAACAGCTTTTTGGCAGTCTTCAGTGAACCAACATTTATTTCTTCGGGGTTTGGTGGATAATTTTGGTATGTTTTTTTGAACGATCTCGAGAAGGGTTTCATGAAATCGTTCAAACGTTTGTGTTTGTGTTTGAGATGGATTGAGTTTCTTCAGACATTCCACGTGAAACCCATCCCAGTCCGCTCTTTTAAGATTGAAACGGTCTGGGATAGGAGTTCGGTGTGGTATGTCTGGAATTAGGGTGATGGGGAAGTGGTCCGATCCGTGTGGGTCGTCCAGGACCGACCATTGAAAGTCTGGAATTAGGTCAGGATCACAAAGGGTTAAATCTATGGATGAAACGTTTAGGTTATTTGAATTTTGAAATGTTGGGGAATTGTCGTTAAAAATACTAGTACTGGTTTTTATTAAGAAATCTTCTATGATTTTACCTTTAGTATCAGTTGGTTCATTTCCCCAAAGAGGGCTATGGGCATTAAAATCTCCCAACATGATGAAGGGTTGTGGGAGCTGGTCTCTGAGGTTTATTAGTTCTCTTAAAGATAGAGGATAATTTGGGGGGATGTATATTGAACAGATAGTTATAGGACGGTGTAGGGTGACCCTGACCGCAACTGCTTGAAGTGTTGTGTTTAGTTGTATTTGTCTGTGTAGTGTTTGGTTATTTATTAAAATGGAGTTGCCCCCAGAGGCGATTTGGTTGTCGGTGTATATTTGGTTGTAAGTTTGATAGTTTTTTAATGTGTATGTGGGTGTTGGCAATTTAGTTTCTTGTAGACAGATTACATTTGGGGTGTGTGAAGTCAAAAGATAAGAGAGTTCTGCCTGGTTTGCACGCAAACCACGAATGTTCCACTGAAGAACTGCCATTTTAATTTATTTTGAAGGCACGGGTTCGATACATTTTTTTTTGGTCGTTGGTGACCTTTGTCTTTGTTTTGTTTTGCTGCGGTCACGGTGGACCGCAGCCTTTTTTGAGGGAGAGTGTGGAGGGGGAGGAGGACCGGAGTCCTGAATGCGGGTACAGGAGGGGGAGCGGGTGCGGGGAGTGAGTGGAGGGGCTTTATTGGATGAAGGATGATGGGATGGAGGTTGAAGCAATGAGGGTGTAGGATGTGGTGATTTGTGTGAGGATGATGATGGGGAGGATGTTGTGGGTGAAGATGATGGGGGTGATGATGAGAATGATGAGGGTGAGGATGATGAAGGGGATGAGGATGAAGAAGATGGCTGAGAGGGTGGTGATGAAGAGGGGGTGTGGGGAGATGGCGTATGGAGAGAGGGAGAGATAGGAGTGGAGGAAGTGGACTCCATGTCCTCCTCCGTCTCCAGACTGGAGTGTTGATTTTTGCAGGTGTTCTGCTTTCTATTTGTCTGAAGGACCTTTCGGGTTGGGTTTACTGACCCTGGGACAGTCTTCAGGACTTCTGAATATGTTTTTGTTGTATTCTTTGGCGTCGATCCTTTTGGGTATAGCGTTGCTCTTGCTTGAGCGAACGTTCCGCCGTACTGGGCCCTATGTGTGAGGATGGCTTTCTCCTGACACCACCTCGGACACTCCGTCGAAGATGCAGAGTGACCCCCCTGTCGACAATTTGGGCACCAGGGATCTGCAGAGCAGGTCTCCCCAGAGTGTCCCTCCTTGCCGCAGCGAGGACACGCTGCGCCACGACGACAGCGTAGCTGTGTGTGTCCGAAGCGCTGACAGTTGAAACAGCGCATCGGTTTCGGTATATATGGTCTAACTTCGAGTTCTAAGTATGCGATGTCTAATTTTGTTGGTGGTGTGGGTGTGTTGAAGGTAAGGATCCACGTGTTGGTACAGATTTCCTTGCCATCCCGCCGTATTTTGATACGACGAGCATGGACAATTCCATCGATCTCCTGAACCATTTCTTCTTCGGTACAGCCGTAGAGCTCTCGGCTTTTGATGACACCCTTGGATGTGTTCAGACTCCTGTGAGGCTGAACACATACAGGGATGCCACCAAACGAGGTGCAGGCCAACAGTTTGCCTGATTCAATGCTGGAACTGACTTGTATCAGGAGGTCCGTGGATCCTAGATTTTTTATATATTTTGGCTTGTAAATACCGAAATGTTTGAGTGATTTGTGAATTTTGAAGACGCTTAATGTAGTCAGATTTGTGTCTTGTTTTTCATCTTTTGGGGAGATCACCAAAAATGGTGACCACCCCAACGATGTTCTCTTGGGTATGTCCCAGATGCTGACATTGTCAGCATCTTCGCCCGAAAGGCCCTTCTTTCTTTTGCCCAGGCCAGGAGTTGCACCTGCTTCTCCTGTCTGGGACTTGTTGGGAATTGGGGTGGGAGAAATGTTTTTGGTTGAATCCATGTGTATTTTGTCTTTTATTTCATCTCCAGGGCTCCCCACCCGCCACCGAGTCCAACAAGGGGACACCGCTCGGAAGTCCATAGCTGGTGTCAGGGCTACCCTGGAGGTATACTCCCAACCCCGGAAATAGCGGGTCACAAGAGTGACAAACATACAAAAGAAGTAGAGGAAATGACAATAGTAAGGATTAGGGAAGAAAAAGCAGCAGTTCACTGAAGTTCAGGCACAGTTATGAGCATGACATTGTTGGATCAGCCCATTTACAATTGTACTGTGCATTAGAACGAAAAATGTCCCCGCTTTGGGAATGGTCTAAAGACACTTCAGTCAGAGACACCGGCCCGGGGGGTGGAAGCAGATTTAATCTGAAATGCTTTCACAAAGAGCAAAGGGTGCCATACTTTCTATTGTTTTTTTTTAAACAAACTAATCACTGGCCTTTGTTAATGACAGATGAAAAGAACAAGAAGATTAACCACTACAGGAAAAAGGTTCCGAAAGCACCGCAACCATCCTGCACTACACAACTTCAGAGTCATCAACAAAATTGTTATAGGTTTGATTCCGATTGCTTTAACACTTTAAACTCTGAGTTTTTATTCCCACCATTTGCAAGAGACTTTTTCAACAGTCACCTATGTCTCATTATAACCCCAAAAGCATATCTCCAACTTCTAAACGGCGGAAACAAAGGCTTAGATTAGTCATTACTAAAAAACTTGGATACGGAATAGTTACGAAAAACAAGCAAAAAACTAGCAATAAATAGTTGTCACTAGTATCAGATGCTCTTAGCGTCCGATGGGGAACATGGTTATTACTGCCAGACGCTCCCAGTTTCCGATGGGGTTTAAAGAGTTAAAAGACATTCAATTTGAAAGTAAAGAAAAGTGAACCCATTTTCATAAATTCAGTCAGATACAAACGTTTACTTGACAAATGGCAGCAATGGCAAAGAAAATCAAATACCAGTTCCCAGTGTTTTATCTTCCTAAAATACAGACCCTTCTCCACAACACTCTGGAGGTAGGCCCAGTTGCATCGGTCGACGAGTGGCAGGTGATCTGGCTTGTCATTGTGAGATTAAGGGTTCAAGGTTTAGCTTGGTCCTGCCAGAAATGACATTAAATTCAGAGGGCCCGCCTCTTAAATAACCGTAGTGTTGTAAGGGGTGTTAACATTAAACAATTTTGCACAATATGATGAGTCTTACAGCTTACCTTGGCCATTTTTGTCGAATATTGAGACTCCAGATTCCACCTGTTTAGCCACAGCTAACCAACCAGGGGGATAACCAAAGAGCCGCATTTTGTAGATGTGCTGTGGCATTTGGTCAGAGTTGAGGCCCAAGGCTTCTCTCAGGCTGTCACTGTAGTAGGAGAAGAGAACGTGACATAAAACTTCGGTACGACAAATTTTAAGAGGATGGTTGTCAAACACAATGGGCTGAAAATACCTGAAAACTGCCATTCAGGTTTATCACTCTCATTCTCTGCCAAAAACAAGAAACCTAACAGAACTCACACTATTCTTTATCCTACACATTTCATAAACATCATAATAACATTAGTTTATCCGTCAATGTCTGAAAATGGCCAATACATCTGCAGCATGGAATATTTCTTAAGCAAAATAGAAAAATCAGGATTGATGATGACTTGTGGCTCCTGTTAAGGCCAATGAGACCAATTCTTGCAGAGAAAAGTTTGACACATTTTGAAAATTCAGAACCCTCATTTCCACTTGTTGATGTGCGCAACATGTGGGCTAAACATATTGTAGACAAAATATACGTTTTTGACCATCTAAACAACCAGTTGTGTCGATAAACCATTACTAGTTTCCTCAAACAATAAAAAAATTTGAGTCATCGGAAAAACAAGTCAAAGCCCAAGGACAAACAATTATTTACTTGAACCATGACTTACAATCTACTTTCGGAAAAGATGGTGAGAAACTAAATTACAGAAAAGACAGTATAAAATGGACAAGTGTGCAAAACAGAAACATTTATTACACTGACAACTAATGCTAAAAGCAATAAACAAATACCCCCACCCCAAAAACCCCCCAACAAAAAACAAACAATAACAACAAAACAAACCCCAACCAATTAACTAACAAATAAATAAATACAAAACCCTTTTTCTAATCAAAAACATACCTGATGACGCCAGGTCGGAATTTGCCAAACTTTGAAGCAAGTTCAGGGTCAAGGTGATAGCGAGCAGCCCCTCTGTGGACAGAAATTTGAAATCATCACACAAATACAAGGACCATGAAACAACAGCATCACTCGGCACAGATCCAACTAAAGTCAGCAAAGCAGTTACACTGTCAAAATGTAGACCACTCTAAGGAACAAAGAATGTTAAAACTTCCAGATCCATCATTTGAATGAATCACATTGTAAGAAGAAACTTTTAACTTAGCATATTTATATCTTAAGAGTCCTAACAAGTCGGAGTTAGGTTAAATAGGTGCAACAAACACCCTGCCAAAAAGGAAAAAAAAAGAGGGGGGAGGGGGGGTGTGTGTCAGGAAGGAAGAGAAGCAGGTTGGTGATTGCAAAACAAAAGAATCATATGTCATAAACCATCAATACCAGCTGCTCATAACTGAAAATTAAAAACATATGATTTGCACCATTAGCTGAGCCTTATCCCCATATATTTACAAGTTATAAATCTTATGTACTTCAAACAGAGACCAATCAATTGGAAGGTGAGATTTAAGGGAGCTGGATACTTATAGGACAACATTTTTAACTAAAGACAAACTGAAACAACTTTTGTCACAGGCAGTAAGTATGAGACAAAAGATTCATTTCAACTGTTGACACACTTAATTATGTAAGCCTTTGCAATGGAAACGGCGGCCACTTAAAAATTGGACATAATTTTTTTCTCCACCATCTACATTTTAACTTTTTAAAATTCTGTAACTTGCAAAAAGTCACAAATAAATTGGTGCTTGCATCTGGCTATTCTGGTATTTGATACTATGCTTAGAAAGTATCCCAAAATAAAATTGTTCTCAAAGTTGGGGAGATGGAATTTTATCTTTAAAAAATATTCTAGGCATGAAAAAAATTTGTAAAAGCAAAATGTAAAAAACTAACAGGCACACTACAAGTACAAACCATTTCTCTTACTACAAGCCAAATTTCTAGTCTCTATGTTAGAAAAAAAAATGGGGGAGAACAAAAACAGCATATGCAAGCAAAAAGTGGTGAGAAAGTGTGTTTTGAGAAAAAATAAGTTAAGGGGAGACGTACACGCCTGGAAAATTTTTCTAAACGAATGACTTTTATTCACTTTCATGTAATTGTGCAAGAAGTTCATAGGTAAATAGGATGTACTAAGGGTGAATTTGTTGATTTTTTTCTGAAAAATGGGCCTCTGAGGCGGCCATCTTGGATTTTCAAACCAGTTCCTTAGAGCTGAAAAATTTCATAGTAAATATTGAATTATCAACCTGAAATTTGGCACATAAGTACAAACCTATGTGGACTGGGGATCTATGTGAGGATTTTGACCTATTTTCAAAACTAAAAAAGTGAGCCCAATAACAATGGAGCCCCGAGAGTCAGTTGACGAAATTTTGGGGTACATATTACAAAAAATTTGAATATTTCCACAAGTAACCAATATTTCCCAATTCCATCACAAAGAACCCCAGAATAGATCTTAACTCACTCGCAACGCGTCCCGCACAAGCTGTGGGACAAGTACATTGACGCTACCGGCCGTGTCCCGCACCCAATGCGGGACCGATTAGTCAAAGGGAAACATCAGGTAAATCCCGCTACATATGCGAGAAGTGGCCTCAGAACAATGCAGTCACCTTTCTTACACCATTAGCTTCAATCCAAGCTTTGATAGGAAGCGATAAAAAACTACGACCGCCCCAGAACAACGCTATCTTTCCAGTGAAACTGAACATGGACGCACATCGAAAACGAAAGTGTAAGCCTAATAACAGGCTCAATGACTTCGAAATTTTTGTTTGTTTTGTAACGTGTTTTACGGCGCTCGCAACTTCATAAGGTCATATGAGCGCGCGGGAGACACCTAATATTTTCAGTTGGTAGGAAATTTTGAATTTTGCCCGGGTGGCGGCCGAAGCCTACTCTTATCGATTTTAGACCACCAAGGGATCTTTAACGTGCGCAACTTGCACACGGGCCCTCCGAGATTTTTCGCCCTTGTCCAAGAAGGCTAGGTGTAGATCTTTCCAACCAGAAGATCAGGGGTGTGGCAGAAAGACAGCAGTAAGGAGGCGCCAAGGAGTAGCAGAAGAAAGGCTGCAGAAAGAGTCAGGAGCCCAGAGGAGGGGCAAAGGAGGTGAGGGGGTGGGGGCAGAAAGTGAAAATGAAAGCAGACAACAGAACATTGCTAGAGAGCAGGAAAGGAGGTGAAAGGAGACAATTTTAGAGAAGAAAATTTTTCAGTCGCTACCCGGATTCGAACCCGGGACCTTTGAATGAGAGGCCAACACCTTAACCTCTAGGCCACAAGAGCCCCCCTCGAAATTTTTGATGACGCAGACTCTGAGATATCAGATATTGAATACGACTCTGATGGGGATCCAGAATTCGGGGTAAAACAGCGAGATAAGGATAGATTGACTAGATCTAGTGACAGTGAGTCAACTGACGACAGTTATGTTTCAGACCCTGACCAATCAGGTCCATCCAAAAGGAAAGGTGAGAAGATAAGTCTAAATCTAGATCTAGAAGATCTGCTACTAAAAGTAAAGACAGATTTATTGAAACTGAAGAAGTTTTAGATCTACAAGATGAAGATGGAATTATATAAATAATTGGTGAGTAAAACTTGATTTCATTTGCTATTTTTTGCATGTATATAATGTCCCCAAAACTTATGCGCAAGACAAAATTTTATAAAAATTTACATGGGCGTATTTAAAAAACTAATAAAGATAATGACTTCATTTTTTAAATTGTTGGACACCTGGTCATTTCAATAAATAACATATCAAAAGGAGAAAGTGACAGCTTTATTAGTTTTTGAGATACAGCTTATCAAAATATGCCCTGAAATGCCAGTCTTGAGAGATTGTGCCCCGAAATTTCCGTCAGTCTCCAGTGAGTTAAAGCACATGTATGCCAAATTTGAAGCTTCTAGCTTCAGTAGTTATTTAAAACTCCTTGCACCAAGGTCACATATGTCAAAAAGAAGATTTTGAGAAAAACTAAAAAAACAGGGATTTTTAAAAGGATTTTTAGTGCAATTTGCACTTTTCAAACGCCCTTTCAGGTCATTTAGGGTGTTTTTTCAACACTTTCGTCATTGTGACCCAATAGAACAGACGTCAAAGGTTGTTTTTTCCCAAAAAACAAAAGTTGGATATTTAGAACAAAATTTTATCAATATAGTCTGGGATCACCAAGCCGGGTCTTCCCTTAAACATAGAACATGTTACCACACAACGTGGAACCCAATAAAATTTAATTTTGTTAATGTTAATCATTCAGCGACTAGTGTCAATATAATCTAGACTGAATGAGGGATCACAAAATACCAAAAGTAAAAAAAAGCTCAGAGTGAGTAAAAATCAGTCCCTGAGGCCCCACGAGCCCCCTTAAACACGCACAAATCAATACATTAACCCCCCATTTCTTTTTCAACACTTTCCCATTAAGTTATTAACTTACGTAAACTTTGGCTCTGAGCGTTTCTCCTGCTGCTTCTCCATAAACTCTTTCCTGTTGGCAGCGATCCTTGCCGGGTTCCTGGGCATTCTACATTCTGCCACAGAGTGGTTCTCCTGACCACAGTTCCAACACGAAGGTTTCGTCCTGAGTAGAAACAAGCATTGTCATATATAGAGTCAAACAAGACACAAAAAGTCTCCATAAAATTCAAAAATATCTGGAAGGTCACATAAGAATTAGCTAAAGCAAGCAGAACCTCTATTGAAACAGATTCAATTCAAATTATGGTCTGACACTGTTTTAGGCACTTTGGGTCAGTTAACTTCTTTTTATAAGTGTTCATACTTGGATGCAAGCTATAACTACAGATCTGCTGCACCTGTAGGGAGTCCAGCGGCACACATAATTTTTCTGTTGAGTCGTAACTTACAAAATGTCACCACACTTATAACGATTTTTGTTTTGTTTAGAGTAAAGAGAAGCACACTGACACAACAAAGATCATCAGTGGTGTTGTGTGGTGACCAGCAGAGGCACATTTTGTAATATTATTGTCTGTATTGCTGAATTTTATTATTATTATTATAGGAGAGAGTTTTACAGCGCTCGCAACTGCATAAGGTCATATGAGCGCCAAGGGGTGAGTGTCAACAGAGAAATCTTTACAGGGAATCAGACTTACTCTGCTCACCTCTCTAGCTTCAACAGCACAAGGTCTGCTTCAACTGTCAAAGCACCCGGAAATAGCAGGTCACAAGAGAGTGACAAATGTACAAAAGAAGTAGAGGAAAATGATAATAGTAAGGATTAGTAAAGAAAAAGCAGCAGTTCTCCGTTGTAGATCAGGCACAGTTATGTGCGTGACATGAATCAGCCCATTTACAATTCTACTGTGCTTGAACGAGAAATGTCCTCCCTTTGGGAACGGCCTAAAGACACTACAGTCAGTGGCACTGCCCCGGGGGATGTATTGCTGTGATGTTGTGTATTATGTGACTTTCTTATGATTGAGTTATTTAAGTTTGAGGGTTCCACCAGATGGTCTTACTTCTTTTCCTTTCTTCTCTTGTTTCGGTATCATACCAATGTCTTTGCTTATCTTTACTCAAAAAAAAGAAAGAGACAAAAAAAGGTAAGAAGACTTCTTTTTTATTTGTTCCCTCTGAAGTTTCTGTCTGTTTTACTATCTCCCTGAACTGCTCGTCGCCACAGCACACTGCTGTTTCTTAGGGAAGATCATTACATCTTTCTCAATGTCATAACTCAGTGACTACAGTTATTCAATAAACTTTGAAAATACTTACTTCTTTTTATCCTGTTTCTTCTGTTTGCTTGAAGGATCTGCATACACTTCATCAAAAACTTGGCCATAGCTAGTGGCTGGTTAAGGCAAATGAAATAACACTTATCATTCAATGTACTGTAAATACAAAAAAGACACGCATCACAAATTTATATCTGCTTTCACACAGAAGAAAAGAGTTTCCACTTTTTGTGAAAAGTAATCCGAAACATTATAATGAACACAGGCCTTTTTCAATAACAACGAAATAAACAGGCTACTGCCACGTTAAAACAGGGTGACCAGAGAAATCTTCCTCCTAAAAATCCCACCACTATAGGTCAAGTTGTTTCTTGCCATTGTCAATGTTAAGGCTCTCGTCAAAGACAATCACGTAGAAGGGGTTATTTCGTACACATCTTAGGATAGCGGACTTCATCACCGCTGCAATCCCAAATGTTCCAAGGTAGCCAAGTTTTGAGGGACTACACTGAAAACTCAGCTATTTTAAAGTCTGAAAACATCTCATGAATGAGAAAACTCGTGTCAACAGCTGCTCCAGTTGTTCACTATTATATTACTGTTGGTGCTCCTTTCAGTATTGCTCACAACCCTTGTTCTGTTCTTGCCAAAGCTAAGAATAGATTTGGTACCACACTGGCTGGTTTGGGCTTTCATGTATTTTAGAGGTACCATGTAAGTGTTCAAAGACTTTACACCAGAATGACCGATGACATACACTTGGGAACAAAACTTACATCTAAACTTGCCTTTATCATTTGGATACTCCATCAATCATTCTGAATATTCAGTGATGATGAAGTAGCACTTTCCCGTGAAGCTGGATCTAGTCTAGATCTCTCCATCTAAATAGTCTACACATATAGTCACAAAAATCATAAGAAAAATAAGTCAGTCTCTAGCCTGGTATGCCAAGTGCCGTCAATCTTCGACTTGAAGACTATCTTGCTGAGTTTTTCCATGGTCATAGATCAAGAATCTAGATGCTGTCACTTTTACCAACCAACATAGTATATAAACATTATAACCCTCTACTCTCTCTCTCTCTATATATAAATATCACCGAGCTTACTAGCTCGCCTCGACTATCACCATCCAATGACACGCCAACCTTTTAGTTCAATACATGGCTTACAAGGTATGACGCATTTCGATTCCACACAAGGCCAGCACCAACACGTGCTATGCAAAAAGCTCTCGTAATCAAAATTCTAAATGCTAAAATTTGCTACAAAGTTCAGTTTTTATCCTCTGGTGTTGCCTTTAACCCCCCCCCCTCCCCCGAGAGTTTTTTGTAAAAAAAAAAAAATCCATAATGCCGCCGTTCCAGAGTCCTATACTTCGCAGCGCTCCGACTTAGAATGAACTTTGGTGACCCCAACATTTGCGGTACTCACTCGACGCCTTTTCAAGTGTGTGGCATACAAACGCATTGACCGGTCACGATGGCGAGCCCGACAAGACGCTCGTATAACTTTCTTTTCTTTTTACACACGTGACAAATATTGATTTACTTCCATGGCAACACAGCCTTTGTAAATGCACAAACGTTAAATGTTTTGTTATCAGACTATAACCGGCAAATTTCAGGTTGGTAGTGAAAGCGAAAATATATCTAGATTTTCCCGATCGAGCCTCGGTATCCATAATACTATAGCCGCCTGTTCGCATGAAACATACTCTCACACCGCGCAAAGCCGAATGATCGCCATCGACATAATGAACTTACGGACATTATCGGATTTGGTTTTCAAATATTCGAGAACTTTTATGTATTTTCCATGGTCTTTCTCGAGGCAACTTTTAGATTTCCTCAAATTTCCTTTTATTGCAGACGTTGATCCAGGAACAAAAGTTTTCAGACAAAAATCCGACCTAAACAAATATTTCCGACTTCCCTGGCCACCCTGTAAAAAAACATTGCAAACAAAGAATGCAAAAACATAGGAAAAAACAATCTCCAAATTACAGACACAAAAATTACTCTTTATCTGAAAGCAATGAGTAACACTTTACATCCAACTCAATATCCCTTGTAATGTGCATGGGGTGATGTGAGCAAATTAAAAAATCATGTAAGCGCATCCATATAAAGGCACTTAACATTATAAATAAAGGTTTCCTCTCAAATAGAGTGAAGAACATAGAGCTTGCCGTCAAGCAGGGAAATATGATATACACAGGGCTGCCTACCTCAAAGTTCACATTTCAGGTATATTCAGGGCCAGTTTCAGGTAGTTTGTCTAAAATCATGTAGTACAAAGACAAAGAAGGAAAAAAAAGATGATCGTTGCCCCATTGAACGAGCTTGCTTTCTGTGATATTGGGTAATTAATTTATGAAAACTTGTTTGTGCATGCACCTGTGTGTGCATGCTCTCGTGTATGTTTATATATGTGGGGAAGGGAAGGGGGTGTTTGGGTGCGCACAAGTTACGATGAACAGTGCGTACGTAATGAGGCGAGGTTGTTTTTTTAAAAGCATTTATGGACTATCGTTCAAGGCACCTATCATTCATATTGAATCTGGAATTGAGTGCAGGGCGACTGCCAAACTGCTCGCCCATACCAACAGAAACTATATCAAAACATATTTGCCGACACTAGCATAGGACACTGATAAGTCCTTTGTGACTTAGGTATGACAGACAATTAATTTTAATTAGTTTTACCCTAATAATACAAAATGATCCTGATCTGGACCTGAGGAGAGGCAAGAAAAACATCAACTGCCAAAACCATGTTTGGTTTCAGCAATCATTGATTTAAAAAAGCATGCAGGACAAAACTTATTTATAAAACCTTTATAGTTAGGCTTACGGCAGAGCAAAAAGTGAAAATAAAAGAGAACGTGTACTGAGAGCCGGAGCTGGAAAGGACTATGAGAGCCTGGGATGTAGGGATGCTGAAAACCTGGCAATCAGTGAATCGTTGCATCATGGACTAAGTATTGATTTTTTTTCAAAATGCTAAATCACAGTACCAGTTTTTAATCAGCAACACAAGCCATCATGATGCATAGGCATCCAACATAGAGCTTTCCAAGGGTTGAAAATGGCATTTCCTCATTGCCACTATTCAATTTGTCATCACTGACAAATCCAACAAATCCGGGAACACTAACCTTGAAGATAAAATCATCAAACCTGCGCTCTAATGTGCCTTCATTTACGCACTCGATTGTCGAAAGTCAAACCCACTTCCACTTATCGTTTTTATTTTAGAATTAGTTTCTTGCACCACGGCCTTATCCTGCTGCCATAGACTATATTGCGTCAAACGCCTCCCCTCAATTCCGAAGCCCTGCAACACTCCTACTTTGAATGAACTTTGATTACCCCTGCAACCGTCGGCTGGACCCTTACTCATGCCGCACTCAAACGATGCAAACTCGCACAGCTTCACTGACCGGTCACGATGACGGGCCCAACAATCTAGAAATCGGAGGACGCTTGTTCTCTTTTTCTTCCTTTTTTTTTGTCATCATAGGGACATCAGTGAGAATATCGATTTAATTTGTATGTTTTGCTTTGATATCATTTTCTTTCTACATTCACAATTCTATTTTCTAGATAAATGAATTAAAAGCACAGATTTTCCAGCCGCAGCAAAAACCCAAAGATAGACAGAAAGAAAGAATGAATGAAAGGAAGGAGTAAGATTATTGTGAGTAGACAGATTTTAGCCGATATGAATGCGAAAAACTATAGCAGACCGAACGGCACAGATAGACAATGGTCGAGTGTATGAAATGCGCAATCATGCAGTTTCTAATACAACTTATTGCCGGGAGTTGCCGTAAATATCTGACAAGTTACGGAGGCAAGTGCTGATCTCTCTCTCTCTCTTCAAAAAACGCATGGAGGTGATATGATGAAGCGGCAAGTACGAAACTTTTGGAATGTACGTATTTCCGCCAAAACAAAGAAGAATGTAAGCACTGCGGAATGGGGATTTTTTTTCTTCTTTCGGCACCGATCGCAAATCCGGTAGTTTTGACACCTTATCGGTATGGTGGTAGAACAGGCCCAAAATCGGTATCTACCAGAAAAATTGGTAGATTTAGGCAGCTCTGTATATACAAATGCTATGATTAAATTCATGATTATTTTTATAAAAAATGACAGTGCAAAGGATACACAGGTATCTCCCAGTTCACATTACACCGAGGAGGCTCCTTCACGGTGAACGGCCAACCCAAGAAGTCGATCAGGAACTGTTTGTGGAACTGGCCATTTCCAAGAATCTGTTGGACAAAGACAGTCAGTACATAGTCACACAAGACACACAATGTCTCTGGAAAATTCTAAAATATCTGGAAGGTCACATCAAAATAGCTAACGCCTCTATTGAAACAGATTAACTTCAATTTAAGGTCCAAACATAAACTGTCTCAGGTACCAAAATACCATGTAAGCTTCCCAAACTTTGATCAGTTAACCTCTTTCCTTTAAAGTGTACAAACTTGGACTCAAGCTTCTGGCAATACTCGTAGTGAGTCAACCGGCTTGTATAATTTCCCTAGGATAGATGCATGGGTCTGCCAAACCTATCCTATTCTCAGCTCATAGTTAACTCACTGGAGACGCAGCCGCAGCATTTGCGAGCACCAATATTTTCCCAAGAGTCTGTTCACACACCCCCTGCGAGCACAAGTTTCGCGCTTTCTCCTCGGCAAAGTATGCGCGCAAACGCTGTGTGAACTGTCTCTGATCGTGCAGCCGACCTTTATTTAGTTTTGTGGGAATGGTTTTTTAAATCTCTCTCTAAAGTCGTCTGGAACAATATGTGACTCTTTCCATTTTCTTTGGTACTCTCTCTAAAGGCCTCTGAGGCTTTGAAAGTGTAAGTCAAGATAGATTATCATTTTGCCTGTATTCTGTCTGTAGTAATGGGAAAGCAATTTCGTCAAGTCTGTCAAAGAAATACTTATCACAAAATTGCTTGTCCTCTTCTGCTCTCTGGTAATTTGACAATAGTGGAGTTCCCATTTCCAAGTCATGTAAACTGTCTTTGCAACAGTCATGAATAACCACTGTGTGAGGGCAGTTGTATAAAAACGCATTGTTTTGCATGTAGGTAGAATGTGTGAGATTCGTTTCAAATTGAAATGAAGAGCTGGAGAGTTGAGGTTGAAGGTTTGTTGAAGAGAGAATTTTCTGGGCGAATACGTTTATGAGTTTCTTTCTTTTTCGAATGACAAATTAAGTATCATCTACCAGACACTGATTAACCAATCAATGATTCAAGAATGGTACATGGCTGACACAGTAAGGGGTGGTGCACACGTAAAGCAAATAAGAAACGCGAAAAGTCATGAAAAAAATATTTTCCAACAGTTGTATCGAATGTAAAGTAAGCACCCCTTAGCTGTCAATCATAGACTTTAATTCATTCGTCAGAAGCTTTTGAAACAATTTACCGACTTGGTCAAGACAATATTAACGTATTTCTTTGATGTCATCTTGCCCTTTCTCAAAAACACTACCAAACTTAGTGAGAGATTACACAAACTGCCTTTACAAAATCTTTTGCTACCGATAGGGTTCGATGTGAAGGCCACAGTCGTATGGGTCGCGCCGCCTACGCGACAGGTGAACATCTCAACAAGCAGCTGAACACCTCAACAAGCAGCTGAATCTGCGTGATTCAACCGCCCATTCGCCACAGGGCTGCAAAACTTGCACTAGGGCGGTTGAATCACATGGAAATTGGGGACTGGTGAGATGTAGGCGATTGATTTACAGCAGGATTGAAACACTCTGCAGTAATCTTTCAAACTCAGGATTTTAATATAAGATGTATTAAAGGCTGCACTACATAAAGTAGACCTGCATGTGAGCCTCAACCAGATTGTCTGAAAATTTTGTGCAACCCCCCCCCCCCAAGAGATTTTGTGGATGTCATAAAGGAAGGACTTCCGAGTAACGAGTGACCACTCCAAAAAATACAATAAAGAAGAGACCTAACCCTACCCCCAAAAAGAACCTTCAACAGGCCTCATGTAAAAAGGCCAGCACTTGAAGTCCAAAATGAAAAAAAAAAAAAAATTTAAAAACCACACTCCAAAACAAACAAGGAACATAATATGGCCTAGATTCTACATCTACATTGCTAAAGGGTTTGATACAATAACACAATAGAATTGGAATATGAATCCTCCATGGCTGCTCTTATTGGCCCATATGGGCAAATAAGCTGGGGCTTATTGGCCCACGTGGGCCATTTAATGCGTTGTTTTTTCAATGTATTTCATACATGGTGTTGTCCCAACTTGTTCTCTTTTATTTTTTCTCACTTTATCCCTTCTTGTTAATGTTTTCCTGAGGCATTCCATCTCGCGCACATTTCTACAGATTTGATTGTTGTCAGCGTGTTCCTGCAGTTCAGTGTTATTGTTATGCAGTAGACTTTGATCGTCTGCGAACAGTATTTCATTTAGAATTTAGGTTCTTCGGATGTGGGCTTGCTTCTTTCGCCAAACAATAGATTACGGTATCATTGAGTTATTTCTTTGTTTACCCTATGTATACTGTGTCGGATAACACGATGAAGATGTGTAACTTCTTAGATACTCTATTGTTCATCTTTTTATTTTTAGCATTAGATTGGAAAACTATACATTCTCAATTTAAAATATGTGATTGGCGGACTTTGTGGATTTGGGAGGGGAGGGGGGAACCAAACACAGGGGAGATAAATCGCAATTTTGTTGGCAAATAATAAATGTTCTAGGGGAAATTTTATATGCCCTGTGGGCCAATAAGCACTTCGATCCTCCATATAGAGTCTAGATCTAGTAATCTAAATAAATCTAGATCTTGTAGAACAAGTGAATAGGAATAGGCCTTGAACTAGAAATCCGCATCCGATTCCGAACAGAGGGACTCAGCTGAGTCTAGATTCTAAATAGACCCATGACCGACCGACCGACCGAGAAAATTGGTAATATAGTTTCAAACGTGGTAAAAAATGCAACCTTCTTAATCGACAGTGGCAAAGTCACTTCAGGGCTCATTCACCCTGTGACCCCGAGCCGGGGAGCTCCGGCGGGCTGCTGAGTCACGCTAACTAAAGGTAACAGAATCGGGCGAAAAGTGACGCCGTGTAAAACGTTTGTGTGATCTGTAATCATGTCTTACTCACAGTGTGCTTCTGTCTCATCTTCTCTGTCCGCAGATCTGGTGTCAGCTTCTCATTGATATCCACGCAGCTTGGGTCGCCAGGCTGAAGAAAATGAAATAAAATACAATTGGGAAAAAAAATATTATCTCTCTTTATTCAATACAGTGAAAAATAAAGCACAAACCGGCAGGGATAAGTACAACACAACAGTCGCTTCAAAACAAAAACAGCAAAATGCATCATTACTCCACTTACATTCTCCTACTCTCCACCTGAATATAATAATGGCAAAGTCAATGTCCAATACAAGAGAACAAAGTTAGTCATAACATGAACACCCATCTCTTCTGCCTCACATAATCCTTACCCCTTCTGCAACAAAACCACAAATTTTTCAAAAAATAAAAGCAAAATTCCTTTGAATGCTTCACAACGCTGAAGCCTCCACATCACGGTTCCCTTTTCTCTTGAGCAACTAAACGGCCACCACATCACCTCACCAATCTTTCATCCCAGATCTCCACCCCCCAATCTCTTGATGAATAAAGCCTTTGTCTCATAAGTCTAAAACAATGCCGCCGAAACTTACACTGGCCTGATGTGTAAGGTTCTTACGATCAAGCTGTCAACAAACCCCACACTGAAACGAGCGATGAAACACCATAGCACTTGAGTGGTACAAGGTGAGCAGAGGGGGGGTAATCCTGGCAGACCACCAGGGCTGTCTGCATAATGAGAAAGGGTGTCAACAACCAGTTACAACAAGTGGTGTACTCCCCATGGGTTTTTTCTAGCATTAAACAGCTCCACAACAAAGGCTCATTTTCTCAGCACTATCCATATAAATCTCATAGATCTTCTCCTCTCTCCATAACCGTCCTCAAACTTGGCCTTTCCAAATCTTAGTGCTCAAAAGTTGGATATAAAAAAAAGTGATCACCTTGATCCCACTGCTTTTCAAAAAATACAAAATTTTCATTTTTACGAGATTCGGATCAGATTCCATTTTTCTCCAAAAGCTACCTACCCAAGGAAAATTTCAATACACACACATCAGTTCAAATGGTAATTACACTTATAGCCAGCAGAACTCCTACATTTAGACAAGCATGAGTACAATTACATTTTGTAGCTAAGAAAGTAATAATTATTACACTTACATTTAAATCAGCCGACTCTTTCCCCAGTCTGTTGAGAGCATATTTAGTCTACACACACTGATGCCTGACCACCCCGTTCACTAGTCACTTTTGAGTAATGTTTTTTAGTGCCCGTCTCTACTTTTAACCTTCTGATGCGTGCCTTATATTGAATTTCTAAATCACCCTGCCATGGGTTAGAGGTTTGAGAACACACAGGTGTCAGGTATGAGGAAACAAAGAGGCATACTTTATATGTATTGAGACCGTACAATTACAGTATGCTCAGCCCAACCAGGCCTGTCTGATTAAACAATAGTCAGTTTCAAGGAGGCATTTTGCCTCACTCATTACCAATCACTCAAGGGCAACTCCTATTTGTTTTAACTGGGGCAACCATTTTGATTCAATAATGGGATGTTCCCTACTTTTATTCTGCCTATATTCTAGTCATCTAACATTCCACTCTTTTCTGACTCGGACTGACTCAAGGGCACCAGAATCTCTTTATTTGGGAAAACGGTACTGTCAACACAAATAAGTTATTACATAAACGTCTATTCAGAAAAACAAAGACTTTTCCATTCTTCTGTGCACTTACTTCAACTAAACTTTGAAAATATTTTCCTTTCATTTCACAATACACAACACAACATTGGTCAAGACAAAAACAAAATATGAGAGTGATAATAAGGAGGTTACGAACCCTTGAGGTGATTTCTGACACTGTTTCCGGGTTGTTCGTGTGAAATTCTGTCCACAACAAGCCTTTAATAAACTGCTCAATCTGCTGGCGGTACTTTCGGGCAAATGCATTGTTGTTGAACAGCAGCTGGACAGCAGGACTCTCATCGTCAGGAACATATCTGGTGAAATCCATTATTTATGAACCGTCAAACAATTAATATTAACATTTATGCGACTCATTTTATATCAAAAAAATTATTAAGAGACGATTTAAACAGAGACCCCCCCCCAAGAAATATAAAAAAAGAAGACAAGAATAGAGAAGGATTCAAAGCAATGGAAACAGTTATTCTATCTAAATTGTATGACTGAATTATTATTTTATTTCTATTATTACACATTATTTAGACATCCTCAAAAACAAATCTTAAGAGCAAAACTAAAAACACATTAAGTCTTAATTTCCCTTACCTTGTAGAATCCAGGATTTTGCTGTATCTGTGGTATTTGTTTCCTTAGACTGGTTAAGGAGTGCCCATTTATAAATGAATAAAAGGGACAAGAAAAACTTGAACAAGACTTTTATAACAATAATAATAAGATCATTTCTATAGAGCCCACTTCTGTGTGAACACAGCTTTAGGCGCTTTACATAAATGCATGTACGAAAAATATTCACACACACAGATGCACGCCAAACACACGAACACACACACATCTACTTGCTTATCACATGCGCACGCTTACACATCATTAGGAAAGAAGCACATACAGATACATAATAAAATAAAATACACAATGATTCACACAACGCAATTCGCAAAATACATAAATGGATAACATAGTCATTAACATAACATTGTACTGAAAATGACTCAACTGATAAAAATGATGTCATTAAATGTGTCTTTAAAGATATTTTATATTTAGACTCGGATGTATGCCTCAAGGGTTGGGGAAGAGAGTTCAAACTGACGGAGCAAGGTGGGCAAACGATCTTCCAGCTTATTTTTTTACCTCCTTTTCTAGGAACTCTTAAAAGATACTGATTGCCTGATCTTAGTGATCTAGATTTTTTAATCAATAAAGCTGCAAAAACTCAGCTCAAGACGATCATCTACCACAGGGTAGGATTTCCAGATTAAAGACTCATACATCATTCTAAAGTAATTTTTCCAGGTCCTCTTCAGCAAAGCATACACTGTGCTATCACACCATTGTGTCCACCATGGATTTGTCTTTCCCTTTCATATAAATTATTCAGCACGTTTACAAAATCTCTTTAAATTTATTTCGGTCAGGAAACAGGTCTACAGAAAGTTAAGTTTATGGAACCACTAGGGATGGAGAAACTATTGTTGTACGTTAAGGATTTTGCTGCACTGCAAAGGACCATTGCATGGCAGCGGTAGCCTAATGGTTTGATGTGAACGCGCAGTCACCAGACCTGGGACAAGGCTTGTTTTGAAAGTAAAAGCGGAACTACGAATATTACCGATTATTTGTATGTCCCAAATTGTAACAGTTACCAGGCTATCATTGGAGAATTCTGAGCGCGGGTCAAAGATCACACACAACTCGGGGCGAGTCAACTACTAAAAGCGGCATCGATATTTCGGGAAATAGAGCTCCGAGTTCCTACTGACATAAAAATTCAACGGGTGCTTCCCACGATAAAGGAGAAGACAGTAAGTTTTTTGAAAAATCCAGCACAACAGCAGACTGGGACAAAAAATCGGGATACACGCGATTGAAATCGGGAAAATCGGGAAGCTTGAGATTTGGGTAAAAAAATCGGGATATCCCGACTAAATCGGGATGAGTGGCAGGTCTGCTGTTCTTTGAGAATTAATAGAAGAGATTTGCGTGTAAAAACTTTCGGTGTTGTTTTTTTATGGAACCAGTGATCGGACTGACTACAGAAATATATCGGCAGAAAGCCCATTCGTTCCTCTTCTAGAATAACACAGCCATTATACGCAAATAAACACCGGACGCTCCCCGTCGGCTCGCAAGCAGGGCACCATCACCCCGGCTTCGTATAAATTCTCTCTTCTTCCCTTCAGCGCGGCCCGGCGCGCAGCCGATAAGCCGACGGTCGCGAGTGGGGATTTTAATCTCCCCTTGTATTTCTTGCGGTTTTGGTCAAAAAGCCATGTTTACGTCAATATATTTCCATCTTCTGGTTATTTGATAGCCCTGAAAAAATTGAGCTTGTTTTCTATGTTCATAGGTGTGTGTCTACAAGTTTTGTGAATGTCCGTTCAAATTTAAGAATGTTGTGACACCTCAAAGTGTAGACATTTCGCAATTAAAAAACTGTAACATTTTTCTGCAACTTCAGATGTTCATAACATTGTTAAAAATGAAGCTATATATATAAATTTGGTATCAAAATGCTCAGAATGATAAATTCTATAAGGTAGTGCAGTTAACTATCAAATCAGAGGACTTTGAAATTTCAGTTTGTGGTACCTAATTAGAGGGAGGGACAGGGAAAAAAAGATAAAATTTCCCAACATGTAACAGTCACAAAGAAAGAAAAAAAAAAGTGTTCTAAGATACCCTCAAAAATCTATTATGGAGTAAAAGCTTCCAATTTTGCAATGTGTGTCCAAATTTCAAGTTACAAGGTTTTTGACAAAAGATACATTAATCATGTTTCGCGAAGAAATGACGACGCGACATAGAAAAAATAAACATCAATGGCTTTCCAGTCAATTTCCATGTGAATCTCTTTGTTGGTGGTTGTCCTGGTCAAAATAAATATTCAATCATGCCGGCGATGGTGCAATATTCTATCATTCAACGCATCAAAACAACATCAAAGAGACTTCACTCAAATTCTTGGAAACAGCTCATTGACCAAACGATGGCGATGCAGTACACAGTACAAAAAGCACAGCAGTGTCAAGGGCAGGGGCGTTTTTGTCCCGACCAATTTTAACGGAGGACAATCATAAAACTTACAAGAGCAAAACAGCCACATCATGTGACTCCCATTTGAGCATGGAGGTTTGATTGACTTCAAGAAACTATCTGTCACTTGTGTATATATTGAGAATGTTTGCAGAGATTCAGAAAGTGATGAAATTATAAACTGAAGCGATATTATGGAACAGACTATTCAATAACCATTTATTTCCTACAAACCCATCGTACCAAACAGTGACCTTTAAGCCCCAGAAAAATCAAGTCAAAGACAATCCATTGTCTGCACTGAACCATGAACAGCCTAAAAAAAACCTCCCTATAGCCAAATTACACTTTTCATCAGACAGGGGGAACACACAATGTTCTTTTAACTTTGCCCCATGTAACTTTAACAAGCTACCTCTGTGTTTTTACATTGAAGTGCCTTTCCAGATCATTTTAATCTTTCTTAACAAACACTTGCGTTATAGTTCATTGATAAACGGAGTGTATTAAAAGCTAAAACGTTTATAAGGTATTACACAAATTCATTACCCCTGCTCAGAATTTATCTTTCTACAAATATTGTTGTTGTCTAAGGACGGTGCACAGTCCTGAATGTAAGGATCTGTGCGGTATTAGTAATTTTATACTCATTGTTTTGTGAAATTCTGCATAAAGCCAGAAGAGAATAACTTGTAGACAAGTAAGAAAGCATAACTCTTTGAGTTATTTACATTTCATATCGTGGAGATACCAAAGCTGTTCATTGTCTTTTTCTTGCTGTTTTTCATATCTCCAAAATTGATTAGTTTGGCATATTGAGTTGATAAGCCTGTTAAAAAATCAAGAATAAAATCCCTTTTTTCTTATATTCTATTACCAAACCATGTGGCGTATGACCGTATAGTCAATCTTGTGCCTTTACGGAAACAAGTATGTTCTCACAAACAGGCGTATCACCTATTTTAAACAATTTCTTAAAAACTGATAATCAATATCTATAATCATTATAGGGAATGATAAATCAGCGGTTGTACTAATATCTTCCCAAAAATGGAAACGAAAAAGCAAATGGTTATGCCGCAGCAAGAATTAAAAAAGTGTCCAAAACTTTGAAACGCTCTCCTGAAAAATGTCAAAAATGCTCTTACGCCCTTTTGTGAGATGGACGACAATATATTATGAGCTCTAAATGTCAATCTGAGACTGACAGAAAAGGGAGTCAAATTGGTAAGAAAAAATTTTTGGAACCACTTGAGTCTCAAGAGTCTCACGTTTTGGCAATTGCTCATATATATATATATATATATATATATGGTATGGGAGTGTATACAGACCCGGTAACCGGGAATAAAGTCACAAAGCATACAGACCCGGTAGGGGAACTCTTTTGTGATTTCGGAAAGTTTCAGCACCCTCTTGGCTCAGGGTAGAACTAGGTTCTTTTAGATCTATGGCCTAGGTCTAGACCTAGACAGACAGATATAAATCATTGATCTAGTTTCAAGGCTAGCCTAGATCTAGATCTAAAACTAAATGAAGACTGTGGATGTCTTTTCGACGAACGATCGTTTTTCCCCTGTTTTGGAGTTGGAGGAATCACAATTTGAAGAAAAGAACAATGTCATAATTTCAATCGAGCAGTCACCCTCTCTCTCTCTCTCTCTGTGTATCGCTCGCATTCTTTTTTTCTTTGTTTGTCTCTGTCTTTCATTCCCTCCTGCCAACTGGCGGGCATGTCATATACATTTTGCTAGCACTTCCCCCTGCTCTCTCTCTCTAACTCACACACACACACACTACCGGGTCTGGGCGCTGAAACTTTCCGAAATCACAAAAGAGTTCCCCTACCGGGTCTGTATACTTCGTGACTTTGTTCCCGGTTACCGGGTCTGTATACACTTCGATATGGTACACCTATATATATATATAGAGAGAAATCTCGGCTACTAATACTTGATCTAGATATCTAGAATTGAATACTAGATCTAGATTTATTATCAGTCACATGTGAGCTCCCAGGTAAATTTTCGGGAGGACTTCCGTAACGAGCGACCACTATGAGAGAGAGAACAGAGGGGGATGGGATAGGTGTAGACATAGGGGTAGGGTTTGGGGTAGAGGTAGGGGTAGGGGTAGATCATAGATGTTTAGGTTTGGGGTAGGGTTAGGGTTTGGGTTAGGTCTCTTCTATATTGTGTTTGTTGGGGTGGTCGCTCGTTACGGAAGTCCTTCCAAATTTTCTGTCACTGAAAATGCAGCAAAATAGGTTGTGAAAAAATGAACTTGATCCCATTTCACTGATAATATGAATTCTGAAATGCAAGGGTAACCAATTCAAAAGGATACGATCATAAATTAACTGTTGAACATTTGGTTTTGTGTCTTGCGAATCAGTTCCCTCACTATACAAATGTTCATAAAGCCAGGCTGTGTCATCATCATCAAGCATTTTCACAGGTTCTTTCGAAGATGATGATTTATTTGCAGTACCATTTTTACTCTTATCTGTTGCAGGCTCTTTCACTTTTGAGGAAGACTCCTCATTGTTTTTATCAAGATTAACATTTGATTTCGAATCCTCTTCTGCAACATCTTCCTTGGTTTCGCTTTTCATTTCAACGTCCGATCCAGCTTTGGCATCGGTGTTTTCCTGCATCCACTCACTGTCGGATTCATCTTCCTCTTCAGAAGCCAGACCTTCAAAAACAATTCTAGATTGCGATGTAGTTTCATCGTAGTGAATGAAACTTGCGTCAGCTTCACGGTCCTTCTCAAACTCGGCGAACAGGCTCGCGTCTCCGAAGAAGTCAGCCATTTTGAATGAAGAGGCTGGCTGGCTGCCGGTCCATTGCCAGTTGGGAGTAAAGAGTAACATTTCTATGTATATCGTTATTAGACTTGAGTTAAAAAAACAGGCTATACATATTATCTTTTTGTCTTCTTGATAATATGTTTTTCTTTTACTACCATGCAGTGTCGTAAATATTTACTCTGTTAGATGACAAAAGCTCATCTAGCCTTAGGACTACTTGAGATGAATTTTGTTTTGAAAAAGGCCATTTGGCATTTGAGACATTTATTTTTCAGTTTTTCAGTTCAAAAGAGTTCCACAATAGGCCTGGCCTACCCCTAGAGAGTAGAGAGAGTGCAGAGTGTAGACTAAAATAGTGTGTAAAACATGGTCTCTCACTCTCAGGCTAACTCCTGACTTTCTATTGTGTTAGTTAGCCAAGTGTAGGTTCTGTGCTATCAACAGAAGAACAGTAAGTGCAAGGAATCGGCGGTGAGAGCTTCATCTCCTTCTCACCAGTATAAACTTGCTAGATCTAGATCTAGATCTAGATCTAGATTCTGGTATAATAGTTTTGGAACAATTAATTCCTTGCTGGGCTTGCCGCGGCTTGCGTCCTCTTTTTCAGAACGAAGTGACTATTCGGACTCGAGTCCGAATATGAAAAAGTGTTATTCGGACTCTGATTCTTGTCCAGCATGACATCACTTCCGACTTCCGACTTCCTGTGACTCGTGAAACCGGCTTCCTGTCCTGCCTCACTCGTGACTCGCCTCAGGCTGGGTAGAGACCGGGATCACTTCGGGCAAAAAGGCGTTTTGTGTAGGAGCCGAGTTTTAATTTTATGATGAATTTGAGGCCGGCCTGAAAAGTTATAGCGCTTCTAATAAATGTTTATTTGTCAAGAGGTCATCAGAAGCAATTAAAGATGGCTCGTTAGCGTGTGTCGGGGTCAGATGGGCGGCCTGCACTCGTGTGGCTGTGTGCGTGTCGGGGAGGGGGGTGGGGGGGGGGGGCACTATCGGTCCGGGCGTTGAACGTCGCATACGCGTCAGTCTTTTTCCCCCCGGCAACTGATCATTATTACAATAATAAGATAGTCTTGACGTAGATCTACGTTAGGGCTGGAGTCTGCTCGATTAATCGAAGGCTTGCGAGCGATGGACGGCTCGTGCCAGAGGCTTGCGAGCGGGCTTGAGTCTTGCCCGCTACCGGAGTTGCTACTCGTGGACGCCGGACGGGCTTACTGAATTTTTTTTTGGTGGGGGGAAGGATTATGTTTTGCTTTATTGATTTTCTGGGCGTAATTCGACATCATAATTAATATTTGTATGATAGAACATGCACAATACACATACATAATACCAGTTACAGTGCAGCAAGATGTTTTAAAAAAAATTATAGGCCTACAATGTAATTAACAATGTGATATAATTTACCTTAACAATGTCAATGGTCTTCTGATAGAGAAGCAGTCAAATCAAAAGTGTTTTACATTGTTCAGAAACAAAATCACGATTGTCATCCCCTCCCCAATGCTTTCTCTTCAACTTCAACTTGTTCTAAGTGTCGGGGTGGGAGTGGAAGTGTAGTTTAGGCGAGTGATTAAATTACAAGCCACGGGATGCTAATAATACTGATTTATTTTGTCAGTTAAAAATTGTTTGTAAGTGTTCACACCTTTATTCTGCGTCCTAAATAGTTTAGACCGCGACCCCAGTGCTTTCTTGTCGTATCTTCATTTTTAGTACCAGTGAAAACAGCTCATAACAAAATCGGAGCCTACGAAGATATCACATTTTCACTGATAAAGAACTGAGGTAGCGAATGGTCTGCACTATAGGCTATTACAGCCCTCTTCGCCTTGCACCAAAACCAGCGCAGCTCTCGCTTCCTCCACGTCCAGAGTTCAGAGTTCACGCCGCGAACGGGGTGGATTACCGGTAGATCTTGCTGCTCGGTGCTGACGAGCGGTGTTGTCCTGCCAGGGCGGTAGTTGGACTCAAAGCAGATTTATTGGCACGAGAGCAAGCCCTTAGCACAAAGCAATACGAGACACAAAGCAGGTCTTGGGACCAAGTGCTTTGCTCTCCTGCGATTTGAGTCTTGTCTGCCGTCCGCTGCTCGTATGCCTTCGATTAATCGAACAGACTAGTTTGTGGCGCAGTGACACTGTGCGCGGGGTCTCTCTCTCTCCCCCTCTCTCTCTTTCTGACGTTAGTGGTTTCACGAATTGCAAGCAGGGAGGGGAAGGAAGAGGGGGTCAGACACAAGTGGCTTCGTGGATTGCAAGTTGGTGTGGGTACTTGAAACTGAGGCTAGACTCGACGTATCATGCTGGTGATTTGATTTGATGATTTGACCTAGTGGTTTGAGGCTTGTGACTTGAACTAGGGGCTTACGAGCACGAGCGTGTTTGCTGCCGGGGTACAGCCCTAATCTACGTAATGAATTGTGCGCTGGTCTATGAAATCAAAAGTTGCCGTATGCTCAGCTCTACACAGCAACACAACTTTTTCTTGGTAAACAATCGATATGAGACAGGCTTGTGTGTATTTGAACGAATCGGTCTTTTTTTTTTTATACAGCTCATAATATGCAGGTGCCAGGTGGTCTGCTAATCTTCAATTTTACCTTTTTCTACAACAAAAAATGGCGGAAAATTGGAAGCACTAAACATTAGATCTATAGAGCGAAGACACTTCCTTTTTTCCGGACCCGAAATTTCTTATTCGGGCTCGAGTCCGAATATGAAAAAATGTTATTCGGACTTGAGTCCGAATAACGACGGCCTTTTCAGAATCTAGATTTATAGATCTAGAACTTAGAATTACCTACTGGGACTGTGTAATTGTGTCAAAAGTCAAAAGACTCATTTTGTTGTGTGTTGTAGTTTTTCTGTAATTATTTTATTTAAAAATCACACTGCACAAAATCGACAGCAGTGGCCTCTTCCCAGCACCTCTTCCCCTATCAAGCCGAGAGTACGTGATTGCTATGCGCAATCTCATTGATCAACATAATTAACTCTCTGAACCCCTTCGAACGCTGGGAGCGTCCGCCGGTAATAACCCTGTTCCCCATCAGACGCTGGGAGCGTCCAGTTCTAGTGACAACTGTTTCGTTTTATTTAGTGCTAGATTTTTACTTTTTTTTTCGGAACTATTCCGGAACCAAGTTTTTTAACAATGACTAAGCCTTTGTTTCGCTTTTTAGAAGTTGGAGGCGAGCTTTTGGGGTTATTATGAGACATAGTGCACTAGGTTTAGGTGACTTGAAAAAAACCTCCGGGAAACGGTGGAAAAAAAGGTCAACTCAGTTTGGTTGTTCTGTTCATAGATCTAGTATTTATATTAAAGCTTCCGTCTCGATTGTTATCATTATAATAAAAACATTTTTCATGAATGCTGGAAATATTTAGGAACAAGATCGGAAGTCGGAACGGAAGTTATGCTGGACTCAATTCAGAGTCCGAATATAATTTTTGTCGATATCGGATCACCTGGGTTGTCAAATCATTGAATTGACTAGGCTTTAGGATAGAAAAGGGAAAATTATTTCCTACTTTTTAAAGCGTATGCAAACCCTTGGAACGAAATTTTAAAGAGTAACGCTCACACACCACCAACACTTAAAGGGGGTAATCTACAGGTTTAATGTGTAATATATGCACATTGGTGGGTAATGGGGAGCCCTGACTCTCAAGTATAAATTATTTTTCATGCTGAAAAAAAAAAAAGGCCACATCTGTTCGGACTCGAGTCCAATCAGACTTTTTATTTATTCGGACTCAAGTCCGAAAATGGGTTTTATCTCTTCGGGCTCGGGTCCCCAAAAAATGTTTTATATTTATTAAATTCGGACTCAGCTTTTAAAGCGAGTAAAGGAGGTCACATAATATAACTGTCATCGGGGGATTTTACATAAAACCAGAATTAGAACTAGAATTGGCTGGGTAACTGTGTCAAAATCAAAAGACTACACTCTCATTGCCAAATAGCAGTGTCTGTATGCACATGTTAACCGACAACTAGGCCAGGGCAAAATTGACTTTACTAGTCGACTAGTCGACTGTGAGCCCAAGATCGACGCTGTGACCCTCATCTACCAGTCGCTCGTGACTAGGGGTGGGCAATGAGTCGCTTTTTTATTTAGGAAAATCTGGAATGTTGGTGCACCCCTTTAGGAAAATCCGATTAACCGGATTTTAACCTTATTTTCCTCTGAACCCCATTCTAAAGTGGGTGTGAGTCGCTTTTCAAATCAAAGTGGGTGTGAATCGCTTGTGAAACGGTCGGCGCTGCCTAAAAAAAGATACCCTGCTTTTTATATCCTAGTTTACAATTATTGACTCATCCCAAAAGTCTGAATTCTCTTAAAGTTACAGATCCATTAGTTATATTTGTACGTGAACAGTAAGAAGAAACTGCGCCAGCTATTTTTTCCCATCTGTTTAGAGATAGAATAAAGTATCCATTGGGACAAAATAAACCTGGTATGTAAATTGATTCACCACCGCAGTACCGGTGACAGCGACCGCGGGCAGGATGTGACGTCAAATCATGTCAAGGTCCCAACCCCTCCCCCGCCCCTCTTTTTCCCCCGTCCCCCAAACATGCCTTTGCGTGAAGGTGTTGATGACTGACGTCATTCACAATACCACTACCACCGAGCCCTCCCCATCGGGTAGGAAAGCTGCTGTGATAGATCTAGATTCTAGATCTAGTAATTTTACCACCTTTATAATTAGTTTCTGGTTTTGTTTTTGTTGTTGTTTTGTTAACTGCATAGGTACATACCGGCCCGGACC